GAGAGAGAGAGAGAGAGAATCTCGCTTGCATGGGGGCGTTACATTTATACGTGATGGGGACGTTCCTGACATTGATCGTTGTTACTGTCACGTTATTACCACGCTCACGAACGATTACGAATGCAATTAGTTTCATCGTGCAATAATGAATATTTTAAATAGACAGTTGTGTAGCACTTTTAGGAGATTTCAATGCTTTGACATTGTTGTCTGTTCTCGGCAGATAAATCATTACGTCTACTGTCAGTCGAATAAAGAAATCCTCATTGAACGGATAACAATTATCGAGATGATAAACGGAAAGAAATAAAGAAGGATTATTCTGAGAAAAATAAAAATAATTAAGATAAATGATTCAGCGGGTTAAATTCAATGAAATAATAAGAGACATGAGCGCAAACTAAATTTTTGACTATGAAAATTTTTTTATTCTTATATTAAACCAAAAGTTAAATCATAAAAATCTTATTCTCCTTATTATTCCATTAAAAATAATTTATATAAAGTGAAATATTAAGAGTTTTGAATTGTTGGGCGAAACGAAGATTTTAAAAACGTAGTTGTGTTGTTTTGAAACAGTAATTATTGAGAATTTTTCTAGACACTCGTTTTTATCAAAATATTCATTATTTGTATTAGATAGACTATCGAATATGATAATGTCACTGCGTGATAAATCGTAAATGGTTATTACTTTACGTCGATTATCAACTAATGATGATTTATGAATAGTCATCGATTTTTGTCGCTCGTTTGAGTCGACCGTATACGCGTGTTTGCAGGAATTATTAGTAACTCATGGAAAATGAGGGAAGGACCCTTTCGAAATAGCTTTGTTTTCCCCGTCCAGAAGGGCGTAACCGGCTAATCGTATCCGAATGGAAACCCTCCTCTAAGAAGTAGCGTTTTATCATCTACATTCGTGCCTGAGACTGACACGGCTTTCTTGTATTACCGGTAACTGCGTTAACCGTAATTTATGTGCATTTCGAACTTCGGGCCGATAGTTCATAGGGCATTTAATCGCGTAAATGGGGTATTGTAAGTACGAGTGCCGTGTTCGGTATTTCCTTGATTAACTTTCCGAGCGAGGCGACGCGACGCGGCGCGAATCTGCATTTCATAGCGATTAATCTACCGAAAAGATATATGAGGAAGGGAGTGATGTCCGTGAGCGAAGCAAAATTGTAGAATCGCGCATTTTTATCCGAAATTTCACCGATATCAATTGACAATCAATCGAAATCCGTCCTGCATGTCGAGAGCCGCAAACATCGAAAACAAGTAGCGTTTCCGATACAAATGTTATTGCCGTTAATGTTACATCAATATCAGAGATTTTTTTTCCTTTTTATTAAATAACAAAAAATAATTTTTTAACTTCGATATAATATATTTTGCAATATTTTTGCTCATCGTTTTGTCATCGGTCGGGCTATCGTTGACTTTTATCTCCTACGCGTTATCTCCTCGTCTCGCGCTAATTGGTTAACGAAGTTGAACAGAATCGGGATTGCGTCGGTGGACGGCGCTGAGTGTTTCTAATCGGCTCTTTAGATGCACGGGTGAGAATTGAATGTACGAACGAGCGCTCGATCGAGGCCGGCTTAAATGCAGGTCTGATTTAAGTTTAACCACGGAGCCCTTACGGTCGATTGGCCGACCGCGCGCGCGGCCAACCTCGGCTTAACCTTTAAATCACGTTGGCGGCGAGTCCTCGCTTCCATCGGAAATTGCACGCGTCACCGTGCATCCTTACGGGATAAATATCGCATGCAAGAGAGAGAGAGAGGAGGAAGAGAAGAGAGAGGAGAAGGGAGAAAGAGGCCCGGTGAGAGATGGTGACCGACGATTTGGCCGCGAGCTTCGCAGAAGCTGCGTTTCACACGGAACCATCGAGCAACTTCCTTAACATGTTAAACGTCTCGCAAACTTCTTGATCTTAATCACAAACGACCTCTGATTAACCGGATCCAATTAATCTTTATTAATTGGATTTTACCAACCTCGTGAAAGTCCGCATCGAAGATCGCGTGTCGGATACGTGCAATCTGCACTCGTTATCTTTTCTTTTTTTTTTTTAATTGGCTACTTATATGCTTTTAACTTACAACTTATTATATGTACGGAGAATTGATTTATATTTTACGTGTGAGATTCACACGTTCAAATACGCTAATAATTTTAATAGATTTCATATACGATATCTTGTATGCGTTTTGCCACGCGGAATTATGTGCTATTTGTTATATGGAGCATCATAAATTTCTCATGCATTTATAAAGAGGCATTTCCTCCTTTCTTTATCTACGATCTTAGAATTGTGTAATTGAGAACGACAATCGTTATTCGTCTGTTCTGATCATACGATAGTGTTTGTTTACAGTGCTTCTTTTTATATGAGTGCTCTTCCATACATGTTGGATCTCTTTTTCTCCT